ACCGGTTAGTGAAATTGCACACTTAGCATAAAAATAGAACCCACAAAGTAGAAGGAATTGTGAACGGTCGAAAAGCACATGGAGAAGATCCATAAACAGGGAAACTAACAAATTATTTAGCGAGCTTAGAGTATTAGCGCGTAATAGGGGTCTCTGGATATGTAAATAAATTTATAGAATTTTAATTCTATAAATTAATTGTAATTTATAGAACATGTCATAATAATAATAATAATAAATAATAATATAGCATTAAAATACAACTTATTAACTCGTAAAATTTTTGAACTACTATATGTAACAGCATTGAAACTAATTTTAAGGCGTGAATATTTTTGTTAATATATCTGATTTATTTGATGGCGTCTTTTATTACTCCATTATTGAATTTAAATGCTGTACTAAGGTCGTGTGCGAGTTAGGCAAAGTTGATGCTAAACCAAATGGGAGATTTTTTGGGATTTTGTGCACTGCACACATTTAGCCATTTATCAACACGTATCGACCCATCACTACATTATCGGCTCATCTTAGAATTTCCCTCATTTAGAACGCAACTTAGCCTAACTCGCACATGTCCTAAATATTATTCGAAAATTGGGCCGTATATAATTGCTAACGAAAATCTGTTTGGCGTTACAGTTTGTTGATATCACCTGATTGAATCCGTCCACTTCCGTAGTGCTTTTATAAAAAGTTATTGAAGTTTTCAAATAAAGTGTTTGTCCTAAGTTAATTGTTGGGAATGAAATTTGTAGTGGATCATATACAATATTTTTACAATACATACACAACATAATATATATATGGTATATACTGTATCATATTCCAGTAATCGTTCTCTGCAGCGAGTGATCTACTGCTTTTTCACTAGAAATAAATTAATTTGGTACTGCCTATAACTATTAATGTATAATATCAAATATCAAATGTTTTTTTTTGTAAAATATTATAGGAAGTTATTTAAAAGATCGATTATAAGAAAAACAGTTTCTGGTAATTGGTAAATTCGGTAAGATTTCGATTAACCGTGCACGACCCTTTTTATTAGAACTATTCCGTTTTGATATGAGCTGTTTTGAGCAAATTTTTTGCACCACACCATATACTTCTATAGCCTATTTTCTGAGACATAAAGGTCTGAAGGTATAAACGACTAACATACTTGAAATATATAATATACTTATATTATATATTTTTTACACTAACAAAAGTTACATACTTGCAATTTAAATACCAGATGACGAATAGATGCTTCTTGTTGGTAGTTTTCGATATTTGAAGTAAGGCTTTGTAGAAAAACTGGTTCAGAACAGCGAACTTTATTAAAATACGTTGTTATATGGTCGTTCCCCGCAAATCGGTAAATCGGTTTCATATCGAAAATTCTTTGAAAACTCTTTTTGTAGTTTGTTGTTCAATAGAAGTTCTTGTGTTTTCAAAGAGGTTATATGTTCTATGTGTTATAGATTAAAATTTTCAAGGTAGAATCTATTTTGGTCACAAAAGGGAAAGTGGGCTGATTGTAATTAAAAAAAAACTAAGTTAGAAATACTTTTGATTATTAATTGTGTGTATTAGATTTGAATCAAGAATAAATTTTTATCAGTATAAATATTTATAACGTATAATTTTAAAAGTCTATTAATATGCAGAAATTTGCATATTAAATGTTTAATGGATATCATATTTATGACATGCGGAGACTGAAATAATTGCAATCAGGTTTGATTAAATATGCAAGTTTTGATAAAAATATTTTGATTCATGTATATTTAAAATAATATAGGCTTTGTAAAGTCAAAACATTACTCGTGTTAATTATTTTCAATTTAATTTTTTTTTTTTTTTTTTTAAATTTGATTTTGATTTTTATTGAATCTTCTAAAAATCAACTTAGAACTAACAATAAATTTTCGCTGCTAATTGCTGTATTAAAATATTTGAAAAAAAAGAAAAATAGATAATTAATTGTCCTTAGCCAAAGCTTCGTCCAATTTCGTTAACATGTCGGGGATTATTCTTGAATAGCCGGGTTTATATAGTTTATTTTGAGTCGCTGAGTACCAGCGCTTTCGGTAAGGTTGCTTGCAAGTGGATTTTGATGGTTCCTGAGTTTGATTTTGTACTTTTCTGTGTTGCTGATAATTACATCTGTGACTGTGTCAATTCGAAGATCTCTATGAATATTTGCATTTTTTATATACCAGGGGGCACCGACTATTTGCCGGAGGATTTTTGATTGAGTTCTTTGGAGTTTTTCAATGTTTGATGGAAAAGCAGAGCTCCACATTTCAATTCCGTAGGTCCATATGGGTTTTATCATTGTATTGCAAAGTTGCACTTTATAGGTGAGATTAAGTTTAGAATTTTTGCTTATCAGCCAGTTTAGTTCTTGTTGTTTGAGTTTAATTTGGGTTACTTTGGTTTCTATATGCTTTTTCCACGTAAGCCTTCGGTCGAGATGCATTCCTAAGTATTTTGTGTCATTGCATTGTGGTATTACTTTTCCATTAATACGAAGGGCAGGGCAGGTATCTCGTCGTAAAGTGAAAGTTATGTGTACACTTTTCGATTCGATAACTTTTATTCTCCAGAGATCGAGCCATTTTTGCAGTTTGTTGAGGTGGTCTTAAACTGATTTTGTGGCTGCGAATGGGTCGTCACTATGGCTGAGAATGGCAGTATCGTCCGCAAATGTTAATGTTGTCGTACAGTTGTTGTTGTCAATTTAATTAATGATAATTCTATTCAAAATTGTAGCAATTACATTAAGTATACAAAGTGCACCTTTTAATTTCGACGAGTATATGCAAAAAAACAAAAAAAAACCCAATATCAAACCTATCTCAAACTTATTAATCATTAATTATCAATTATTTAAATTGATTTTGTAAAATATTTAGATTTAGATTTGTAAAACGTAAAATAAATACATAAACTATAAGCAACCGTCGGAAGTTTCTTTTACTCATAACAACTACGAGTTTCTCATTCCTTATATGAGTTATTTCAGGGCAAACAGGTACCTTAAATTGACGAAGAATAATATTGGGACCATAATAAAGTACATTATCTTCCGTCGCAGCAGGTGTAGGTTTGCGTGTTCTAGATATTGATTAAAACATGTTTAACTGAGCAGTGAATACTGGAAGTATCCATAGTGTTTTGTAAACGTGTTCAACTTGTTATCAATGGGCAATTAGGGATGAAAGTTGTATAGTAAACTTAGTACAGTTTTGTAGATACAATCTCAACAACCTACTACAACTACAAGAACACCTGCAGTTCACTTAATTATCTACTTAAGTAATAAATCTCAATGCCTAATTAAATGCTATAAATATCTAGTGAAAACTAGTGGAATCTTTGAATTATATGTTATTAATTTTTTTGTATTATACGCATATATCATAGTGATTTTTAAAAAGCTTGTTTGTGCTGAATTTTTTAGATTCAGCATATAATTTTACTAAGAAATGTGTTAAATAAGTAAACCTTAAAACCTTAGAAGTGAAGTAAAATTACATTGCAATACACGCTTTCACAACTAACCTTAAACCTTAAAATAACATAAAAAACGAGATTTCTTTTACGAACGCCAACCAATTTTCTAGATGATTAAAGTTTTGTGAATCTTTTCGGAATAAAAGCTATTTTTATTATAAAACCCATGAGTTGTAGGCTTAGTTGCCTGCTTTTAGGTTAGGTTGTACCAGCGATTTCAGGGGGATCCACTTAGGCCTATAGGCTTATTGTGCTACCATACTACTAAAAACCCAGAGGTTAAAACCATCTAAAAGTAAACCATCTCTGGTAAAGCTTATCAAGCTATTTAAAGGGAGGTTTCTAAAAGTGCATGTTCCGAAGCAAAGCAGGTGGGAGGTACTTTCTTCATCCTCACCACAACTACGGCAGATATGGTTGAAAGGGAGATTTAGTCTCTTAGCACGTTTACCTAGAATACAATAACCTATAAGTAAACCTACTGCAAGACTGATACCCCCTTTCCTCATCCTTTTTTTGGAAGAGGCGGCTTTCTGCCATCTCAAATAACTTCATCTTCTTGAGATAGTATGTAGTAGAAACTGCATTGTTGTTGTATGGAGGATATTTGTGCATGATTTGCTATGTCGAATAAACAAATGAACAATTCTGGTATAATAATAATTTTAATTACAATATAATATAATTTTCTTATTTTGAAAGTAGAATAGGTAGTGAAATATAAAATTATCGCAATATATGAGTGATAGAGTGTGGAATAAAGGAATCTATAATATATATTATAGATGCAATAATTGAATCAGTTGTAGTAAATAACTCAGTGATTGTTAAGATACAGTTAACGCAATAAAATGGTGGACACGATCAGTGTCCCAAAAAAATGTAGGTTTGGTGATTCACTAAACCATGACTTAAACCATTAAATATCAGTATTACTCAATACTGAAACCTATATCGTTAAAGTTGCTGGACATACTGATTCAGATGCAGTATTAAGTAGTCCAACCAAATTTATATGGTGTTGGAACTAATTTGGTTTCTCTTATTTGACAAATTCTAATCAAACATTCACACGAATGAATTCTTTAGACACAAGTTCTTAAGTTAAAATATTTTAGAAAATATATTAAATTATTGCAGTTTTATCACTTGTTATAAGTACAAAATTAAAAATAAAATTAGGCAAAAAAACATTTCTTATGATAACGTGAATATTTATATCATTCTTATGGATCATATATGTAATGTACAGTTATTACTACGACAACTTGGCTTAACCTATCCAATAATAATTTTACCTATGTTAAACTTATTTTTAATATTATATATTAGTATTTAACCAAAAATTTCTGTAAAAACTAATTAATACATTTTTTTTTTCAGCTTTCACTGGGTCTGCCTAATGGTGTAGTAATGCGTTAGATTAAAAAAAGCAAAATAATTATCTAAAATTATTTAATTATAATTTTTGTTTATTTTTAATTATTTGCAAAGTATTTAAATTTTTATGATAAATTTGTTTGATTCTTAATCAAAATATATTTATTGAAATTAACAAAATGAATGTTCAATCAAGTAATAAACTACTTAAGAATCGCGTGAGACCTGTTGACATATCCTTCAAGGATCTAACTTATGTAGTCAGTGTACAAAAACAAAAAGGTATGTTTATATAAATTTTTTAAATTATAAAATATTAATTAAATAGCGTTTTTTATGTGCAAATAATAAAATGTAAAGATACATTAAATATTTAGCATCGGAGGGTAGCTTTTAGATAAAATCTAGAGATCGCAAAATAGATTTTAAGAATTTATATGTTTTTTTAAAAAGAAAGCAAATTTTAGATTTATTATACCGAATAACAAAATAAAATTACTTTATTAAATCTGCATTTAAATATACACAACACTTATTACTTTAGTGGCATTATTACAAAAGTGCAAGTACATGTCTTTATCTAGAAAGTTTTCTATATGCAAAATAGGTATAAGTATATACAAAATAAAGAATATGTAATAAATAAATAAAGTGTCAAATGGATATACTTTAATTTAATTAATATTGATTATAGTTTTAAAAATTATTCGAACTTAAATTTGTTTTTACAATGACTCATTAGACATATGCATGCTGAAGTGATCATAATAATCAAGTATTGATTAAACCGTTTTTTTTCTATAAAATGGAGGATATTCTAAAAAAGTTAAATAATCATTTGATCTTTATATGCTCAATACAATTCACACAGCTCTTTGTCCCATTCTGCGAAAAAAGTAACAGGAATTTATAATTCAAAAACCAAGATACTTCTACAATTTTTTTTATTGTCTGATAGCACTATACTATATTATTATACCCAGTATGGTATCAAGACTACGGTTACACAATTTATAGTAAAAATTTAGACAAAAACTTTTTTAACAATGTATCCGTGAATTTTGTCAGTAAGTATCATCTCCAGGTATCATCTTATAGTACTAGATTATTTTGAGTAGCTTTATAGCACACATCTAGCTTTAGTAGGTCATAACTTGCTTCGAAAATTTGAAGATTGTCTATATAAATACAATCATTTGCATAACATGGAAAGAAATGATATCATCTTGTTGGCGAGTTCACATCACCAATAGATAAAAGTCAAGCCCGGACATTTTGTGCTACCTGTTGAAACTATATAGCTTTTACATCCATATCGACTATTTCACGTCAAATATGTTATCGATCTGTTCAAATCACGTGTCTCTTACATCCATATTTAAAATTTCTTGACATAAGAAACTTGGTAATCATGTGGTTGTAGTGATCAGAATTGATGGCCTATCACCGTCAAGACTAAATGCCACACTGTATAGTGATATCTTGTGAATATAATAGTGCTTCGACAGTTACTTGTGGATTTCTACTGCTCCGGATGCAATAAGTTTATTTGTTGACATATCCATAAAGCTTAAAAGAATTCTTCGCAGTGAGGATAGCTCAATGCAAAATATTCCTACTGCAGAATTACCAGCTTCAATGGAAATAGCAAATGGCTAATAGGTAGTAATATTTTCGCCAATGCTACCATATCAACGAGATGTGACTGTCTGAAATGAGAGAATGATGTTTTGTCTAAAAGTAATATTAGTCTTATACTATATACTTGCTAGTGCTGTTCTTATTATTTGGATATTTTAAAAACTGAAGTTCTCTGATTATTCGATTAATCGGATTTCAACGAAAACTTCGGAGTTGAAAATAAAATTGGATTTTTTGTAAATCCGGAATCTTCGAATATTCGGTGATGAGTTCCGAGGATATATTTTTATTATAAGTGGGCCATGTTAACCTGGAAGTTGAGAGTTGACTTAAGTGCTTTCCATCTATTATTGGCAAGTTGCAGAAAGTAGAGGAAGGTACTTCTCTTAATGGTCTCTAGGATAATATAAACCATAGCGGTTTAGCGGGCTAAACTGTCAGCTTTCTCGTTCTCTTCGATGTTCCTATGTCTTGGAACCCAGATGGAGATGATATCAGTCAACCGATTTATCTTGTCAATTGCTTCTCTACATATTTTTACTATTTTTGATTTTGATATGAAAGATTCAAGGGTTTTGATTGCTTCCTGGCTGTCAATGAAAATGGCAACGCTACATCTGTCCGCGATGTGACTTGCAATTTGCCGACAGGCTTCTCTAATTGCTACGATTTCAGCTAAGAGAATTATTTATGTTTTCAGATGGTACGTACATCTCTGTTTAAATAGGTGTAAAAATAATTAGACGGTGTTGTCTTGAGTGCGTTAGTAATCAGATACGAATCAACAAAATATACATTGGTTATATTTACGCAGATAGAAGACGTTCTGTTCGGTTCTGAGGCAATATGAATGATGAAATACTGTCACTGTGTCTTGCTTCACTGGAATTCTAATTACCTATGCCATTTTAATTAAAACTACTTGGTTACGAAATAAACATAGGAACAGGTAATTACTAATTTCAGTTGTATAATGTATAGTCTTTATGAAATACTCGTACCTACTATGTTATTTCCATTGCAATATGACTTTCAGAAAATTTCGAAAATTCATTGCATGATTCGACATATTAATTTGCTTATTTACGTGTACTAATTTATAGGAATATATTTTCTGACAAATTTTAATACTAAATTATAATTAAAAATTGGATTTTGTTTGGCATTACCTATTAATTAAAACTCATTTTATAATTGAAGTAAATTAGTAATGTTTCCGATATTCCTTTGTGAAACTATATTCTCATCAAGCTTCAGTTTTACATAATGATGTGATTACGATTATATATAAGAACACTTGAGTTTGACTTTGCTTTCTGAGTTATTAGCTATACTAAAGGCTGCACTAAAGTGATATTGTTCTATAGGTGCTGCTCCTTCGCTTAATCACAATAATTATTTAAAAGCTTATTATTCAAATCTTAATTACAGATTAGTTTATGGTTATTTAGTCACATATATGTTAAGTTTTTATTAATGTGAAAATATTAAAAGTTTATTAAATATGTTCACAGTGTAATTTTTTTTAAATGACAATTAATTCCTATTCAGACAATTAAAAAACCATCAATAAAAACTTCAATATCATTGCTAGATAGTGTTAGATTGTTTACGCTATTAGAATTTTAAAATACTTGCAGGTCTATATCAACACTTTTTATTTCATTTTTTTGTATCTTTTTTATACTCTATGTTTATCTTTGTTATATTTATATTAGTTTTATTATTATTCACTTATGGCAAGTGATTTTCATAGAAACCGAAAGTGTATTGTACTGTTCGCCATTGTTTGGAATATAAATAGCCAGTGGAGTTATTGACCTAACTATGGCTCAGTACGGCTTCATTTATATAAATTATTTACTTTTTTGTTATTCTAAGAATTTTATTTGTTTATGCATTACATGTGACATCTGGGCAGTAATATCTAAATACGAACGCTTAGAATTTATACTATATGCAAATGTGTATAATGTGAAATCACTTCAGTTGCTGCTTATACTCCGGTCTAGGTCTTGTTATAAAAAATCATTAAAATATTTGTTGTCAACTAATTGGCATAATATTTAAATTTTTGTAAAATAATTGCTAACTAATCAATTAATATGCATATTACGAGCATACAAAACATTGATATAAAATACTTGTAATGAAATATTGAAAAAGAGTTAGTTTAGTTGAAACCTAACTGCCACACATTTAATAATCAGTAAATCATTGAAAATAACTCAAACTATTTCAATACTTAAATATTTAAACACAAACTGATTTACCTTGAAACTCATTTCATATACTACAGATTTTCTACATACTCATATTTCATAAGTAAAATAGTAGCTAGATACTTAGCATTGGTTCTCATCAAATTTCCGTACATAGACTTCCGGATCCTTAGCAATACCTATCAGAGACATATGTATTTAATAGAGTTATACACATATAAACCACAATGTGGCGCTTAAGTGTATTTTCTTCAAGATAAGTCATTCTCAAAGTAAAATGAGATATATTCTGTGAATATAATAGTTGTGGACTGCACCATATTTTATGCTCCACCTAAATGGACATTAGAAAAAACTTAGCAGTTATGACATCAAGTTTCCGTGTATAGACTTCCGGATCCTTAGCAATACATATATTTAAATACCTATATTTAATAGAGTAATAGACATATAAACCGGTATGTGGCGCTTAAGTGTATTTTCTTCAAGATAAGTCATTCTCAAAATAAAATGAAATTTATTCTGTCAATATAGTTATTGTGGACTCTACCATATTTTATGCTGCACCTAAATGGACAGTACAAAAAACTAAGCAGTCATGACATCAAGTTTCCGTACATAGATTTCCGGATCCTTAGCAATACCTATCAGAGACATATTGAATAGAGTTATAGACATATAAACCGGTATGTGGCGCTTAAGTGTATTTTCTTCAAGAGAAGTCATTCTCAAAATAAAATGAAATTTATTCTGTCAATATAGTAGTTATAGACTCCACCATATTCTTTGCCGTATCTAAATGGACAGTAGAAAAAACTAAGCAGACATGACATTCCGCACAGGTCCACAGATTCACAGATGAGGTATGCTGCATGTCGTCTGCTTTTATAGAACAGTGTCAAATGATACGATCTGTGTTATTGCTAAAAAAATTTTACTGCACACACATAAAAAAGAGCTTAGACGCCTTAATAACAGACAAGAGGTGACATCGCCGATAAATCAAAAAACTGTGGATGGTTTTTGGGTACTAAATAATATCAGTAAAAATATAATCTGTTGTTTAGTGGATACTCTCAACTGGAACTGTGTTTATAAGTCCAATTACCTTTACACTCATTCACCACATTGAAGAGTAGGTAATAGAAAAACATGTTTTTAGTTTGATGATAGCCTCTACTGTTCAAACTTACTTGTAAAATAGGTGCAATTTAGATTTTCTAGATCATAGACCGATTTTGCGCACATTTAATAGTGGATTATAATAATGTCAGGTTTTTCTACGGTATTACATGCCGATATAGCTTGCTTTTCATGATTTCAAAGTTTAAAATTGTAAACTTTTTACTCAGATTATACTAACAAAAAAATACACACGTCATCTAATGCTAAATAGGGGCATTGAAACTTATCATATCT